AAAAAACGGCGTGATCGGTTAAAATTTAGACCGATTACGTTATATCATTTAATCGGAAACATTCTCAAGCGCAATAACATATTAAATACCGCTTATATAATGTAATAGGTAGTGCTTATATAATAAAATAGGTTAATTACTAGAAATATTATCAAATACAATAACATATTAGGTACAACTTATATAATATAATATGTAACGTTTATATAATAAAATATGTTAATTACTGAAAACATTATCAACCACAATAACATATTAGGTAGCGCATATAAACGTAATAGGTAGCGCTTATATAATAAAATATGTTAATTATTTAATTTGTTATTACAATATATTAGGTAAATGCCTAAAATATTACGAAGGATAACATAATCGATTATTTTCTGGAAACATTATTAAGTATAATAATATAAACGGTAAAAAAAAATAGGCGCTACCTATTATATTAAACTACCTACCGGATATGTTGAAAGTGTCGATTCCATTTAAATAAGTATTGACACTTTTGGAATTTAAAAGAAAAGCATTAATAATGCCTATAAAGTACCGATACTTTATAAAAATATATCGATACTATACAATATAACAGGTAAAAATATGACAAAACCAGTTTCATTATGACAAAACTGGTAAAATTTACCTGATATGTTGAAAATATCGATCCTTTTTATAAAAATGATCGATACTTTACAATATAGCAGGTAAAAATATGACAAAATCAGTTTCATTATAATAAAACCGGTAAAATTTACCTGATATGTTGAAAGTATAGATCCTTTTTATAAAAAGGATCGATATTTTACAATATAACAGGTAAAAATATGACAAAATCAATTTCATTATGACAAAACCAGTAAAATTTACTTAATATGTTTAAAGTATCGATCTTTTTATAAAAATAATAGATACTTTACAATATAACAGGTAAAAATATTACAAAATCAGTTTCATTATGACAAAACCGGTAAAATTTACCTGATATGTTGAAAGTATAGATACTTTTTATAAAAATATATCGATACTTTGTTGAAAGTTATGTAATTTATGTTTCAAAAATTTTTAATATTGATTCATGTTTTTCACCTACAATATTAATTTAATAATTTCATTTACACAAAATATTATTTGATTGTTTTGATTTTTTATAAAATATTATTTAGAATTTAAATTTAACAATTTTAACCAAAGATAATAATAAATATGTAATATCTATGTTTATTATTTTTAATTTAATAATAATATATATTGTAACATAAAAATAAATCATTAGACGCGTATAATTACAAAATTAATATCTTAAAACTCACTCAAAAGATAACCTTAAATTAATGTTTTCCACAGAGGTAGTGCTTATATAATAAAATATGTTAATTACTGGAAACATTATCAAGCACAATAACATATTAGGTATCGCTTATATAATATAATAGGCAGCGTTTATATAATAAAATAGGTTAATTACTGGAAACATTATCAAGCACAATAGCATATTAGGTAGCGCTTATATAACGTAATAGGTAGCGCTTATGTAATAAAATATGTTAATTATTTAATTTGTTATTACAATATAATAAGTAAAAATATAACAAAACCAGTTTCATTATGACAAAACCGGTAAAATTTACCTAATATGTTGAAAGTATCGATCATTTTTATAAAAAGGATCGATACTTTACAATATACCAAGTAAAAATATGACAAAATCAGTTTCATTATGATAAAACCAGTAAAATTTGCCTGATATGTTGAAATTATAGATACTTTTTATAAAAATGTATCGATACTTTGTTAAAAGTTATGTAATTTAATTTTCAAAAATTTTTAATAGTGTTTCATGTTTTCCACCTACAATATTAATTTAATAATTTCATTTACACAAAATATTATTTGATTGTTTTGATATTTTATAAACTATTATTTAGAATTTAAATTTAACAATTTTAATCAAAGACAATAATAAATATGTAATATTTATGTTTATTATTTTTAATTTAATAATAATATATACCGTAACATAAAAATAAACCATTAGACGTGTATAATTACTAAATTAATATCTTAAAATTCATTCAAAAAATAACCTTAAATTAATATTTTCCACAGTAAAATAAATATGGACACTTAAATATATGTATCGATACTTATCGATAACCAAAGTTTATCGCTTACCAAATTTTTTAATAATTTTTCATATTTTCTACCTAAAATATTATTAGTCTGTCAACATAATAGATAACGCTAAACCGAATTTATTAAATATATTTTAATATATCTGGTAATACCATATATTAATCATATATCAGTCGCATTTCATGAGACAATCCGTTGTTGAAGTCCTTTTTTGATGTTAAAGCTCCCAAATTTCCATCTGCCGTCTTCAGAGCATCCCAAATTTCCATAACCGAAAAGGGAGCTTCAAGGGCTACTTCTAAACCAAGTGAAATTTCTCCCAGAGAGTTGTAGGTCTATCAGATGCCAATGCTGTATGAAATCTGAGAAGAATAACATGAGGCTGGATTTGGGGCTACTCCGAATTTTTCAGATGCTGCTTTAATAGAGTTAAAGTCACCCCCGAGAATTATGGGTCGGTTGACACTACTCAAGAAAACACTTAGCATATTAAATAACTCTTTTCTTTCATTGAAATAATTAGGGGCATACACATTGATCACCACAATACTTAAGTTCCAGAGAGGTAGAAGGCCCTCCACCGCCAAGAATTTGAGATTACGAGTCATTCGCTCCAATTTGAAAAAGCTCGAGTACCATAACAAGATTAGACCTCCAGACGCCCCTATGGAAGGCTCATAAGCGAATTCATCATCAAAAGCCTTGCCTTTAAGACGCTTAATGAGACATGGTTTTACTGAAACAAGTTTCGATTCCTGTATTAGGACCATTCTCGCTTTACAAGTGTATAAGACCTTCATAAAAGCACGCACTTTCTCTAATTTCCCTAGTCCTCTAATATTCCATGTTAATAGGCATAAATCCACGAAAATAATTCACACAAACAGAGGAGCGATGCACCTAAAAAATCAACATCCCAGAGCTGCCTCCATATCCACAAGTCTTTGCACAATTTCCTGACCCAAGGCGTTGAATTCAATGCCAGACTTTTGCCCATTTCTAAAGTGGAAAAAGCTTCTGCCAATAATTCTTGTCGAAGGCATAAATTTGATTTCCCCGAATTGAACTCCCCGCAGGGGCGGCGTCTCGAGCCGAAAATAGCTTAGCTGAAGCTTTCCTTCTTTGATTGCCTCGTGTCTTTCTAATTTTTTTACTTTGTTTCTCTTCAATTTTTCGGCCTTCTGGATAGGAACTAACAGAGTACCATTTTGTACTTGGCTTCCAGAAGGAACTAGAGGACGAGGAGTCGGATGAAGAAGAAAATCGACGTTTTCAACAATTTCGACCGGGACCAGTTGAATTTGGATCCAATGTGAGAGGTAAAGGCCACTAAATTATCTCCATTATCTAAGCTTGTAGGGAACCTGCCATCCACCCAATCCTCCGAAACTGGCCTCCAGGTTAGAGAAGTTATCGGAACTGAAAGTAGAGAACTCACTAGATATATGGAAAAGATGGAAAGGCGTGCACAGCAAGAGGAAGAACTTTTCACTCGTGCTCCTGTTACAAAGAAGGACGAAAAGATAGAGAAACATTTGAAGAAGTCAAGAAATGGGTATGCATTTTACTCGGTTCCTTTCAGTGTGATAATTTTGGTGAATATTTTCCATGGTGAGTTTTCGGTTTTATGTAATACCCTCGGCTTGACTGTTTATCCCTTGTTTGTATCAGGTTGCTTGGTCTGACTGATAGTTTCCATGACGAAATTAAAACTTTATCATTGGGGGTTGATGCCGGTGAGCAACCAACAAGCTTCAGTAATGGTAGCAGTGGAATGGGGAAGATCAAAAAGCGCAAGGTATGTTGTTTGATCATTTTTTCATCATTTTGTTATTTACCCCAAAACTCCATTATCTAATTTTATTAACATGAATGACACCAAACTGTAGCGCTTTATATGGTTAATTATTTAGTCTTACGCCGGGGATGATGTTATGCATGTATCTAATTGCGTTGATAGGACTCGACTTATTGTCGATGAGACTTCTTATTGTAGCCTGATGTCTGCTGTATTGTTGGTTTGCATGAAGCACCTCATATATTGTAAGAAGCGACACAGAAAATCCTCGCTGATTGTATCTGTTGGCCTGACATTAGTTTACCTATTATATGGCATCCCTAGTTGCTTTTTTTTTTTTTATCTATATGCTTTATATAATATCTTACAAGTATTTTTCATAAAAAATTTAGCCAGGCATGTATTTACTATATATATTTCAAAATGTTTTACAGACTTATACGCGACGTAGAGGCTGACATCTTGTCTGCTTGTTTGCAGAGGAAGCATTAATGGCAACAAATTGGATGTACATGTTAAAAGGGACCAGAAGTTAGAATGACAATTTTGCATTTGAGTTCTCTGTTGAAAGCATTTTCTATAAGTTCTGGATTGCATTAAGAGTTTATTAATTTTCTTTCTCCGATAACTTAGATCATTAGACTGAAACACATATAATGGGAATGAGATTTGTTATGTTTCGGTACTAAAATCTTCTGTTGCTGCCCTTTTGAGTTGTATTTTCATCTTCGGCACCACCTTAGGTCCAGTCTACCTCTTATTCATTTATAATTAACATATGCAGGGTTTGAAATTTTATCCTCCAACTAATCATTTAGGGATTCTTTTATTGTTTGGTGGGAAGAACCAAGAAGTGAAATATTGAAAAATCAGTTAATATAATGATGAAGCTATTTAGTTAAATTTATTCATGTAACCATTTAAGATGATATTTATTAAGTTCAAAATTTTAGTTCCAACAACTTGTGTGCCCTTTTTGTGAGGTTTCTTTTGTGATAAAATGAAAGTGAAATTCTTAAGGAGCAGTCGATCATATTATTGTGCACTGTAACAAGTTTAGTAAAAACTGAAGGCCCCACTCGAGGGAAAAAATGCTGCTTTAAGCATATTAAACTGTCATTAAACGGTTTTACATTGAACTTCTGATGATCAACTGTAAATTTGTAATGTCAATCACTTTTTGAGTCTTCCTTTGAAGGTTGTGCAATGTTATAGAGAATAAGACCCGTCATGAGAATTAAACTACCAAACAGGAAAAAGGGACTTAAGCTTGAACCATCAGGGAGATACGGCAATGGAAGGGAGAGAATGTAAATTGAAATAGGCACTGCGATGTGAACCGAAAGGGAAATGAGAAAAAAGAAATTAGAACAATGCTACAATGGTGGCTTAAAATAGATTCAAGTATGTACATGTTCTGGCATGCATGCAAGATCATGTTACCCTGCATGTAAATTGAGAGAGTGAGAGAGTTGACCTGACAATGTTACAGTGAGAGACGCAACAATGGCTGAGGATACTTTCAATAGATTGAGCACTGATATGTTGAAAGCCATATTGGTAACTATGTAAAGTAGTGGAAGTAATGGAGCCCCCTCACAACCTGGAGTGAAAATTACAACTTATTATTAACCAAACTTTATGGTGAATATGATTTATTCGACTAACAGAAGTGTCTGCAAAACGAATGGCCAAAAGCTTAAATAGGGATATTAACCATTTTCATAACAAAACATGACTTCGATTTACAGCACAAAGCTAATGGCTAAAAACTGCACCTTATTTTACTACATGTTCAAAATTGCTTACTGATAATCCAAATTCTGTAGAGCCAAGTTTAGAGGTATTTTGCATCTTACCTAAAAATATATATACTACGGAACTAAGGTTTACGTAAAAAAGGAAATTATGATATACCCACAAGTATATTAAATAAAAATGTAAACTTGCCTGATATTTCACCTCCTAGTTTTAGAAAGCATGCAGCACCACTTTTTAGATATGAAGGAAGTTCAGAGAACGGTATCCCTTTCAGATTTGACAACAATGGCAACAAAAGAAGCACAAAGAGAGCCTACAAGTCCAAGGAAACATTAAAATCCACCAATGGAACATATGTCGGAACATACAAAATGCTCGAGGAAAGCAGTGGCTTAAAATGTAAGATATTTTTAATTGAAATGAAGCTCTGCAAGTAGGTAGGTAGGCAAAAATGAACATCTATTATTGCAAATCTTGATTAATAGAGCAGCTGAATCTGGCTATTGCTCAGAACCTTTGAACCATCCAAGATCTATCTATCTAAATGTCCAATTTTTGATGTGGCAATACTTTAAAGTTTAAACAACTTGGTTTCCCTTGTTTAGTTTAAAGAAAGGAAGAACATATATAGGAGTTGATTATCTTTTATGGTAAGTTTTTGGAAACATGGAAAGACTTTATAGAAACATTAAGACCGTTCACTCAAACTAAGATAAGCCAGAAATCAATTCCATTTTTATTCCATCAAAATGAGCCCGTCAAAAGAATTGAGAAGAATGTACTTTGAGAAAGATTTTTATTCAAATATTTGCATCTTGAAAGACCAAATGAGCATACATCAATAGGATTGATAGAAAAGAAATGCAAGCTATTACAGCACAACAGCAAATATACCTGAAATCCAGATCCAAAAGAATTGACAACAAATATATCAAGTGACTTCGCCTGCACAAGCATTTTTGAAAGTTTGAGCATCAATGAGGAAATAAACAAGACAAGCTAATATGGAAACCCACTCAGAGAAAATGTATACATTGAGTCGCTTTGCAGCATCAAGAAAAATAAATTCCTGTTTCAAGAAAGGAAATAATGTTGTTATGTTTGCTTGAAAAATACCATAGAACTAACAACAGATGGAAATTGTTTGAACCTTAATAATAGATGCACCGGCTTGAAAAGCTGCTGATATTATCATCAGTCCTGGCCACATAAACTTAATTCCAGATAGCATCTGACCAGTGTCAGAACCACTAAAATTACAAAAACAGCAAACTAACATCAGATCTTTACCCCCACTTAAGTAGCAAGGAGAAATGCATGTATGGAGACAATTCTGAAATGATAGTCCGGCCAAAGCAGTGCCCTAACAGAACCATGGTACTTTACTGAACTGCTCTTCTTTAAGAAGTGAAACTGGTCTTGACCAAAAAAAGGGGGAAAAGATAACCGGTTGACTTGTGTCAGGTGCCTATGAGTAACAGAGATTTATTCCTTTCCATCCAAGATCACCTAAGAAGTTTAAGCTACAATTCTATAGCACAACAAATGAATGATGCAGACTGAAATATTTCTACTATTGTCTTTCAGTAGCTCAAGCCATCAGGTAATATTTCTTTATGCATTTTTAGGCAAAAATTTTATGAAAAAAAAAAGTGTCCATTAGGTAGGTAAACTCTTCCACTAGGCTTGCACCATTGCACCCTACAGAAGATTGAAGGTGAATACCTACAGGCTACAGGTGCAATTATTGGCAGTAAAGAACATATAGCATTAACATACCTTGTAACAGCTATTATGACTCCTACCGCTACAAGCAAACAGCCGCCAATTTGGTTAAATGAATAACGCCTCCCCAACAGAACAGCTGAAAATACAAGCTGCCACACTAAAAAGGTCTGCAAGATAATAGAAGTATTATTTTGATTCCTAATACAATATACTACCAAACAAATGTAAATCAACAACGAACATCTAATCTAAAATTAAATAAGGGAAATCTTTTCTTGTATTCCTTTACTTATCCAAAGAAGTAGATTTATCAAAGGCATATTATATCTTTTTGAAGAGAAAACCTGATTCAATATTGGAATGGCTGGTCCTGGAAGCATCGCTGTAGAAATTACAAAATAATTACAGAAGCCAAAATTGAACTCATTAAATCAAACACAAAAAAATGACATTTATTGTATCTTAATTCAGATAAATGGATCATTTGGAAATATCTTTTACAATTAACATATTCAAATTTACGGATCAAGAATTCTAATATACTATTGAAAAGTTTGTACCTGCTGAAGCCATTCCACTAGCTACTCCAAGAGCTTCTAGCATACCGATGGCTGCGAATCGCGATTTAGGCAAACCTAACATTTCATTAGTGACAATCCCCGCCCGATAACGAATAAACAGAATCGAAAAATAAATCACCACGTACCTACATTTTTCAAATACAATTAATTTGCTTTTTTTCTCAATAAAACTGAAATTTAATTGAAGTAGAAATAATTTTACCCAAAAGTGGTAAATTGAGCTAAAAAGAAAGGGTATTCCTTCATGGGAACGAGTGCGAGCTTATAGAGAACGCGATTAGCAACAGCGAATGTAATAGTCACGGCCGAGGATATTGCAATTAGCTTAGCGTCGGCGGTGGCGCTTGGTGTTTTACTTGAAGCGCGAACTGTGAGATTAGGGCGGATGAAGGCGGAGCTGTTGGGTGGAGCTTTGGTGATGCTACGGTTGAGCTGGCGGTGGAATGAAGAACGGTTTTGAGGGAGTGACATTAAGATGGGAGATTGAAGCTTAGGTGAATTGGAGTTGAGAAGGATGGAAGTTGCGAGATGGGAGGGAAGCGAACGAAATAACGACGTGGAGGAGAATGACATTGTAAAGGAAGAAAGGTTGACTGGAGATGAGAATGCTGGCGGCTCACTGATGACTCAATTGGTTATGGGCGGAAGCAATGTACATTTATTGTTTATCTGAACTGGTTTTTGACTTTTTTGGATCGGGGAATTTTTTTTCATTAAACCAAACAGGAAAGTTTAAAATCTAATTTGAAAACCATTGCGCATTATCAAAAAAGAGTAAACTGTGCATTTAGTATATAAACTATCAATTTTTATCCTTTTAGTACTTAAATTTTCAAGTTTTTCAAAATCATATATAAAGTTTAGTTTTTGTTCCATTTTAGTATCCTACTAAAAAATAACGTTAACTTTTAAAAAAATTGAAAAGTTTAGGTACTAAATTAGACCAAAACTAATAGTTTAGGTACTAAATTAGACCAAAACTAATAGTTTAGGTACTAAATGCATTGATTTTTTAATGGTTGGGTACTAAAATGAAATAAAAACTAAAAATTAGATATGGTTTAAAAAAATTAAAAAATTAAATACTAAAATAGAATAAAATTAATAATTTAATTACTAAATGTATAGTTTACCTGAAAAAGAAACTTTGTGCGAGGGTTCGTGACTCTTTTTACTTTGTTTAATTTTAAAAAATGGACTATTAATATTTTTTTATTTTACTTAAAACAATATATTTTGTTATATTACAATGAGTAAAAGTATAATATAGATCCTTGAAATATATTTAAATATTTTATATTAACTATTTAATTTTTGAATTTAAATTTATTTTATAAAATAATTATTATAATATTATAATAATATTTTTATAATTATTTTTAAACAATATCTACTTAGAAGAGGGGAAAAGAGACTTTACATTTAATGAGTATTGAAGCCACAATTTTAAGGTAGAGAAAAATGTAAGAATTTTTAATCAATTACTCTAGAAGTTGATAACTTAATAATTATTTTATAATAGTTAAATAACTTTAAGTCTTAATGTAAAAATAAATGTCTATACTATATATTTTTTCTTATTTAGTTGTCAAAACTATTTTTCGATCAATCTAACTGTCTAACGTTTTCAAGTTACACTTTTAGGTACCAAGACTGTAACCGTCGTTAAATGACACATTTCACTTTTATAAAATTTTAAACTTGTATATTTAAAAAAAAATTATTTGAGTGTGACACATGTCATTTAACGGCGGGATTTAATGTCAGTTACTGTCGAGACACCTAAATGTATAACATTGAAAACGTTAGATACTTGAATTGACTGAAAAAATTTAAACACCTAAATGGAGAAAATGATATAATTTGGGCACTTATTTTTGTATTAAGCCTAATTTTATTGATCATTTTGTAAGTTTGTTACAGGATTAAAATTTTACCTAACGTTCATAAATGATGAAACTAGAATTAATTGTCTAGATTAATATGCAAAATTAAATCTATCAAATAGCTTTAGTAATTAAGGAGAATATTATTCTCTCTAGAGGTCTTAGGTTTAAGCAACGTCTGCAAGGTATGTGTATTATCAATAGTTGAAAAATAGTTATAAACAAATACTATATTGTAATAACTGCACACTATTTAAAAATATATACAAAACAACTCTTGAGAACTTTAAGCTCACCAAAACACTAAACAAACAATAAGATTCCTAACTTGAACAAGTGAAAAACAGTGCATAAATTCAAACTGAGAAGATTATTTAACGCAATGAATTCTTGCTCATGACTGAGAATGGTAACAACTAAATAAATTAAGAAGCATAAAGTGCCAATTTGAAAGGTTGTGACTCAAATATGAATCTTCTTAAGAGAATAAAGAAAAAATTTAATTAAAAAAATAAAAGTCAAACTATAACGACTCTAAAAAAGTTAATAACATTGCGAGTTTATTATTATTATTGTGATAATAATTAGAAATTACATGAAAAAAAAATTAAGGCAACGGTGCTATTTTTCATGTACAGAAATTCAGAAGTCAAGAAGCAATATGTCGATGGTATTGTCCATAAATGATCAGAAGCTCAATCGAGTTTTAATACATCAAAAGGTGTACGCTCAAGGAGTACGTAAGCTCTCAAACTGATTTACACCAAGCCAGTGTGCATCATCAACACAATTAAATTACTAGACCGGTCTCCATTGTCTTCTGGAAAAATAGTGATCCTAATAAAACGGCAATCCCGGCTATTGCAATTGCGAATACAAGTCGTCTCCATGAATATTCAGGTGGCGGCTGCCTTCTCTGAGCACCTTGCTCCCTTTCAGCTGGCCTCACATTCCTAAACATAGCTCCCAAATTCATGAAATTAAACCTATGATACTTCGTACTATTCTCTTTAGACAATGCAGAGCTAAATCCTGATACAGTTTTCAGATAACTAAAAGAAGAAAACATCATAGGTTCGATTAATCTCCAGGTGATCAACACAAGTTCAAATATGCACTATTTCCTGCCCTACAATGGGTGTAGTTCTTGTGATTGATGGTTATGTTACTAGGATTTAGATATGAGCATCTCACAACGAAATTTGCCCGACAAGGATATATATGATCATTACTTTTCCTAAGCATTTGGAGGATCCTTGAAGGAACATAACCCCACACCATGTCTATAAATAAAAGTATCAAATAAATAGAGGAAGTTAAAGGGTCGGAGCAAAAGAGCTTAATGGAAGAGGGTAGAAAAAGGAATCACATGGCCTATAATACAACCATGGATTACATATCACAGCTTAAAATGCCTTTGTCGGTATAAAATAGCAAGCTAAGAAAATGCTCTTAACTCGCTATGTTCATCCAAAATGCAGCATTAGACACAAATGCCCAAAGAACTAGCTCTTGGTACGAAAATACATTCAATAGAAAGCAATGAATACTTTTTTCAAATATTTTCCTCGGTTAACTGAAAGTTACTAATTTCCTGACTGAAAATTGCGAGTACAAAATGCCAACTTGCTGACAAATACTAGGGAGACAAACATATAATCTTACGACATAGGGCATCAGTACAAAAATAATTTGTGGAAACAATAACTGATTCCAACCAAAACATTCCAATCATAAATTATAGCATGTATACCTGGAAGATCCCACATTGTCTTCTGGAATACCATTACACCGTCTTTCATGGTTATATCTTTCTCTCAGTCTAATGTATCTGTTACAAAGATGACAGAGCTCTGTCCGGTTCCCACATACTTCCTAAGATAGCAAAGCAACATCAACATTATAACATTTTCACCTAGCAAATATCATTGGAATCCCTTCACTGAAAAATGATTCAAAAATTAGCACCTGATGCTCGGCCAGATCAATAGCAGGCATTGGGAACTCGCAAAACTCACAAGTAACAATCCTCTGGGGGCAATTTTCACCTTTATGGATAGCAAGGATTTCACGTTCCATTGTCTCGCTACACAGTGAACACGTCACCTGCTTGATATGCATGAAGTTTATAACACATGCCAATACCAAGTTGGATTCAAGAGTAGATGTGCAATTGCACATTAGATACCAACATACAAGCATGACTGAATCAACAAACAGATAAAGGCTCCCTAACCTTGTAGTTGACTGAACTTATCCATTAAATCATCAACGTTAAAGGAGTAACTAGAATCTTTGTATTCTCATTTATTTCACTTTTAAGAATATTTCAAACCTTCATTGACAATAAACACTTAAGTATGAGTTGGTTGAATAATTTCTACCTTACGAGCAAGATCTTAGAAAATAATCTTCCCTTGACAAATTCATGCATTGAAACCCAAAAGAGAAAACTCGAGTTCAAAAGGGGATGATATAGAGGGGGGATATTAACTCAAATATCCTTCACTTTAAATAGGCTTTATCAATTTTCTTCATCAGATAACTACAAATCCTAGGTCAATAAGATGTTTTGCAATCGGGAGAATATGGCAAAGGCCAAAACTTTGTTATTCCTACCCGTTCTCCATAAATTTTATTTTAAAAGAAAAAACCCACCTAATAAAAGATCCAAAATTTAGGTACATTTGAATGTTACCAATTATTTCTGTTATTAAGCAACCTTCAAGGGTAGGACAATTTTATTTCTCTAGCACAAATAACACTCAAAAGCCATCATAGTGATGGAGAAAGAAGATAGACGAGAAAAAGCAAGTTAAAGAATTAGTTCATTTGAAAAGAACTAGACAAGACTTACCGGAGCATGGGTGTTTAAGAAATGCTCCTCAGCATGCTTTTTTGGAACCATATCACCACAAACTTTACATTTTTGTAGATTACGAGAACAATGAGCATAATGCAAGTCTATATTTGAAGAAGGTATAGCTCTGTCACTGAACCATCAAAAAGAAAAGTACTTCTTAAAGAGTTTTTCGGAGAAAATTTTCAAAAGAATTATGTATTTGAGTAAGAGGAACTCCATCCTCGTAAAACTGAAATAGAGAACACATCATTGTAACATCAAATTAATTAGCAAATAGCAACCACTTCAAACCAAAGGCATACATCAAGACAAAACTCAGAAACTGATAATGCACTTCCATCATCCAAGAAAACAAGCCGGTAGACAAACCTCGGTAATCTTTCATCCACAACTCACCTTCCTAACAATGTAAGCACACTTCCATGATGTCATCATGAACTACAAGCATCCATGATAAATAGGAAAAACTGAAAGCTTCAAGCTTTATTCCATATATGCAACACACTTCCCAGTATCAAGTGGATTGCAGAGTTAATGTTAATAGAAAACCAAAATGAAACACCAAGAATTATGTTGAAAATTTCAAAATACCCAATAATCACAGCCAAACTTTCCAAATTCAAAGGATTTTCAACTACAAGCAACGAAAAATGCAATGATCTGATGACTAATACAATCATGAATGCACAAAAGCATCAAGGGAACACGTCTTAGGTCCTGACCGACATCAAAGCAGGTCATTCAACTAAAGTAATCCCCTTTCCAGCTTGATTTGGTCAACTTAAATTACTAATAATTTCTTTATACATGAAATTCTAGACAAATCAGGCAATAACAATAATTAAAAAAAACAATTGTTAAGCATAAAGACAAATTCTGAACTGATATAAGAATAGAGAAACAAAGGAGCTGGGATCCGGAAGACAAGAAAAAGATTGCGTTTAAAACTGAACGAATGGAAATTAATTCTAGAAAAGGATCACGGAATCATGCTAATAATAAATACCAGTGATCGCATATGCTGGTGGTTTCGTCTGAAGCAATTGTCATAACCATCCCCTCAAAATCTTTGTTCGACAAAAAGGAAATACCTAAATCATTCAAAGATAAAAAAGTTGAGGTGGAAGAAGATGTAATAATTTAAATTCCTAATCAAGATTAGTGATTAAACCTGCAAAAAGCACTTGATTTTCGTAGGAAACTCCCCTTCTTTCCTTTCAATTTTTTTTCCTTTTATTCGCCCGAAATTTATGAGAGAAAGAATACAATAAGGGTCAATTACTTATTAAGTCACTAAATTACATGATCAATTCTATTCTGATTACTGAAAAATTTGTCAATTAACTCACCGAACTTTAAATATTTTATCAATCTACTCATTGGTGGTTAAATCACTAACAATTTATTAACGTGGAAGTTTTAAACTCTTATAATAATACGTTTAGTTTTTATTAATTTACATATTTTATCAATTCAATTCTAATTTTAAATAAATCAATTAAATTATTTTTATATAAAAAATTATCAATTTAATCTAAAATATATATAATTATGATCATCATCCCTTGTTGACACTCTAAGCCCCTATTACCATTAACTCGAAAGACCATTACCACCACCACTTCCATCACCTGAATTCTAGTTCATATGCCTTGACAATGTAATAGGTTCTCATTCTGTTATGAGAGTCAGTTTGCAGAAGTTAGTTAGTTAAGCTTCTGTTATGAATCAGTTAGTCTTCTGTTATAATTGGTTATGCGTGTAGAGCTATAAATAAGCTCACTTGTAACAGCAGATACATGATGAATTTTAAAGGTTTTTAGAGGGTCTATTCTCTCTTGTTTTTTTGTTTCCTTTCTCTTGTGTGTAGTTCTGTTACTCTTGACATGGTATCATTCGCCAATCCTGGTGGTTGTTTCTTCTGATGTTAATTCATTTCTTGATTCATCTTGCTCATCATGGTTGATCTAACCAAAGATCCAGTTCGAGGCTCTGAAAATGTATCACCGAATACCTCTCCCGTAAGCTCCATGTCAGTTCCGTTAGGAATTAATGGGATTCAACATATTCCTAAGCATGACACTGTCAAGCTTACCGAAAGCACCTATCTTCTTTGGAAACATCAAGTTGCGTTGATTGTTGATGGTTATGGGTTAACAAATTTTCTTTCCAGTAATGCAGTTATACCAGATGAGTATGTTGCAAGTGTGTCTGGCCAGACTGAGGTTAATCCGGCTTTCTTGATTCATAGACAACAAGAAAAATTGCTAGCCTCTTGGTTACTTACCACGATTGGGACTGATGTTCTTCCTCATCTCACTGGACTCACAACAACCTTCTCCATATGGTCTACTATTTCTCGGCTATTCGGTGCTCGGTCGACTGCCATGATCTCAGCACTTAGGCATAGTCTGCATACTCAAAGAAAGTCTGGGTTGACTGTTAGTGAGTATCTTGCAAAGATTAAATCTATCTGTGATTTACTTAATGCGTCTGGTAGTGTTGTTACTGAAAAAGAGCATGTAAGTGTTATTCTTGCCGGTCTTTCGATGGAATTTGAGTTGATCATTGCCGGTCTATCTTTAGACATTCTAACTGATATGTTAATGGATTGTGAGGCTCGACAGAAAGTATTCTTGAATGACGGTGTTATGGCTAATTTGACCTGTTTACCTAAGGAGGTAAACAACGTTGAAGTGGATACAAAAGAAAGTAATACATCACAGCTGCGTTCTAGTCAAAATTGCGATCAGCAAGGTGGTGGTTATCGTGGTCGAGGCCGTGGACGGGGTTCAAACAGGCCTCAATGTCAGTTGTGCGGCAAGTTTAGTCACGTGGTGCAAAAATGCTACCACCACTTTGATCGAGATTTTACTGGTGTAGCTGGAAGTGAGGAGCGTACTGGTGATGACCAGAAACAATTTGCTCGAATAAATTCTGTTAAACAACAATCTGGAGGGCAAGTGTTTGCTCATACGTTTCAGCCTTTCTCGACCGTTCCACATGCATTTGTTCCTTATTCACACTCGTCCATGTTTTACTCGGCTGGCCCAGGTATTCCAGGAATAACTGGTATGTCTCAGACTTCAGGATATTATCAATTTCCTGTATCTTCTGGGCATCTATCATTTACTTCCATGGCTCATACGGTATTCAACTCCTCTGTTGCTGCTAGTTCAACTCGTTCCTCGGTACCCCCAGAAAATAATTGGTATCCGGATACATGTGCCACACATCATGTCTCAAACGATTTATCTGTTTTTGACTCAGTTACTGTCTATACTGGTGTGAATACATTACTCATGGGAAACGGTGAAGGAATCAAAATCGATCATGTTGGTCGAGGTTTCTTACCCACGAGACAGAAATCCTTAGTTTTACAAAACATGTTACATGTTTCTAATATTAAGAAGAAGCTATTATTTGTATCGCAGTTCACAAGTGATAATAACGTTTTTCTTGAGTTTCATGCTTCTGAGTGCTTTGTGAAGGATGCTCATACCAAAATGCTTCTTCTTCGGGGGAAGCTCACGGATGAGGGACTGTATCAGCTACTGCCATATGATGGTCAACCTTCGTGTGCCAAGCAGGAGGCAACTTTTCAAGTCAACACTGTTGCTGGTTCACATGATGTGTTGGAGCTGTGGCATAGAAGGCTAGGTCATCCTTTGTTAGAAGTGGTTCTTTTTGTTATGAGATCTTGTAATGTTCTTTCGAATAAGTCTAAATTCACTCATTTTTGTACGGCTTGCATGCAAGACAAAGCACACAAATTACCCTTTTGTAAGTCTTTGACTGAATACACTGAGCCCTTTTAATTGGTCGTGTTGATGTTTAGGGACCTGCACCGGTTATATCTTCATATGGCTTTGCTTACTACGTTTCATTCATCGATGTTTTTAGTCGATACACGTGGGTTTATTTACTCAAGCGTAAGTCTGAAGTCATGCAATGTTTCATTGATTTTGTTAAAATGATTGAAGTACAATTCGGATATAAAATCAAGATGCTGCAGTCTGATGGGGGTGGAGAATATCAGGCCTTGAGGTCTTGGTTCAAAACAAATGGGGTTCTGTATCGTATTTCCTGCCCTGGTACATCTGAACAGAATGGCAAGGCTGAGAGGAAGCATAGGCATGCAGTTGAAATGGGTTTTGCTATGTATTCTCAAGCTTCGTTGCCATTAAAGTTCTGGAGCTATGCTTTTATATCAGCAGTATACTTGATAAACAGGCTTCCTACGAGTGTTCTGGGTGGTCGATCTCCGTTTGAAATTCTCTATAAAGAATCTCCAGATTACTCCCTTATTTGTGTATTTGGTAGTGCTTGTTTTCCTTGTTTACGCTCCTTTAATCATCATAAATTGCAAGATCGCTCTAAAAAATGTGTGTTTCTTGGTTATAGTTCCTCTTATAAAGGTTACAGGTGCTTGGATGATTCGGGCAAGATCATTCTTTCTCGGCATGTTGTTTTTGACGAGGAAGAGTTTCCTTATGCGAAAGTAAGGTGTGTCGATTACTTGGATACACGAGGTACGTCTGCTGTAACCACTAGCGTACTGCCTGTTGTTGTTCCTCGTATTGCTAATGATTCTGCTTATGATGCTGGTCATAGCACTGATGTTGTTGTTCCTTCGAACAATGAAGAGATAATTCATGGTAATACTGTTAATTCCCCTGTAGTCTCTGTGGCTCCAGAATTTGTGGAACCACCTGTGCAATCTGTTATTGTTCCTCGTATTGCTAATGATTCTGCTTATGATGTTGGTCATAGCACTGAAGTTGTTGCTCTTTCGAACAATGAAGAGATAATTCATGGTAATGCTGTTAATTCTCCTGTTGTCTCTGTGGCTCCAGAATTTGTGGAACCACCTAGTACACTTCTTCCTACAGTTTCTGAATTTTCAGACCATGTTGAGCGGTCCTCTTCTATGGATGAACCTGCTTCCTCAACTGTTGAGCCTATGTCAAGTCTAGTGCCTGACCTAGAAGATAGTATACATGTCTTAGGTGGTCCTCAGTCTATTCTTCAAAATTTGCATCCCATGCTTACGAGAAGAAAGAATGGCATTCGCAAGCCAAAAGTGCTTTAGGTTGCCTGTCTTGATAAGGAACCTTATTCCATCAAGGAGGCTATGCGCAGCCCTCACTGGGCTAAAGCAATCCAAGAAGAATATGAAGCCTTGGTGAATAATGGAACGTGGTCATTAGTCCCTCTTCCAAAGGGACAACAAGCAGTTCATTGTAAGTGGATCTTCAAGGTGAAAAGAAATCCAGATGGGACCGTATCTCGTTACAAGGCACGTCTCGTAGCCAAAGGGTTTCTTTAGCAGGCTGGAGTGGAGTTTCATGAAGTGTTCAGTCCAGTTGTTAAGCCAACCACCGTTCGTATAATTATCTCACTCGCCTTGTCCAAGGGATGGCAGCTTCGCCAAGTTGACATCAACAATGCGTTCTTGAATGGGGTGCTGACTGAAGAAGTTTACATGAAGCATCCCCCTGGGTATGAACAAGGAAATGAAGGATTGGTATGCAAGCTTAATAAAGCCATCTATGGCTTGAAACAAGCGCCTCGAGCATGGTTTGACAGTCTTCGAGGATATCTGATTTCAGTAGGATTTGTTTTGGCACGATCAGATTCGTCGTTGTTTGTTCGAAAGACTGATGATGGTATAGTATATATACTAGTTTATGTTGATGACATAATCTTAACAGGGAATGATGCGAATGAGGTTCAAAGAGTGATCAATGATTTGAACAAACAATTTGCATTGAAAGACCTTGGTTCTCTTAGTTTTTTCTTGGGCATTGAGGTGTGCCGTGATGCTGATGGTTTAGTTTTGAGGTAAAAGAAATACATTCGTGAACTGTTAGAGAGGTTTGGCTTTGCTGATGCGAAAGAACTCCCCACTCCCATGGTCTCTACAAGCAGGCTTTCAGCAAATGAGGGTGAACTCGTTACAAATATTGTTGAGTATCGCAGTATAGTGGGTGCTCTTCAATATGTGGTAGTGACTCGTCCGGACATTGCTTACTCGGTGAATAGGGTCTGTCAATTTATGCAGGCACCATGTGATATACACTTTCAAGCAGTCAAGAGGATCTTGCGTTATCTTCAAGGCACTGCTGACTATGGGTTACGATTCACTTCTTCGTCAACACTGTCATTAACCGGCTTTGCTGATGCCACGTGGGCTTCCGATGTTGATGATAGGCGATCCACTTTGGGGTTATGTATCTATTTTAGTGGGAATCTTG